TGTAAAACTCAAAAAATTATTCTTAATAAAACATCACATTTTTATGGTACTTTATCATTCATCAATCAAAAAATCCAAAATATAAATAGTTTAAATTAAAAACGTTTGGTTTCATACTTGTTATTCACATGGTAGAATGCAATGTATTTTACAATCTTTTTTTGAGAATTCATTAATTTTCCAATTAATATTTTATTTTGTGTATACATAATGTGAAAACTATTTACAAAAATATGCTCTCATTTATGTAAATTTCAACCAAACTCATCCTGTTTCGCGCGGTTACAGTGTAATTAATTGTGAAAGCATAATTGTTAATGTAATATTCGTAGCACATTAACATCTGTGAATTTATGAAACCAATTTATCGCCACAAACAGGTACGAATGTTATCAATGTTTTATGCAATTGGTGGAAAAGCGTTTTGGGGGCAATTCATCTCATTTTTTCACATAATTATGCAACACGGTTAAAATATAGAATGATATAGTCTCTGGTGCAAAGAGAACAAATCCGGAACTTGCAAGAGTTAGTTCATCACATAACTCACAGCACATCAAAACTCGAGCGTTGTACCGCCCGGGGTGTTTGGTGTTGGCCAGATTTATGACCATTCGTTCCCAATTCGGTATTTGAAATTTTCATGTGGTTTTTTTCCCAAATCGAGTCAACTCTCGAAGGTGCTAATTAGGCCTGGTATGCAAATGCGTCTTCTTTCCGGGATAATCCCGGATTAGTGGCCGAATCGCTAGTTCACGTTTAATTACTGGATGATGTAAATGTGTATTTAATACAGAAATTTGAAATTAAAAACGCAGGAAACTTCTTTAATTTATTCGAGAGCTGCCAGACTGCTCCATTTCTGGCTCTATTGTGTCAAGTATTCTTGGCGAGTCATTATTGGAAATTTTAATTGTATTCGTTTAATTACAGTAGTTTCCAGTATACTAGACCATGCGGTATTATTAAAAGCGCTCTTTAATTGAAAGCTCGTTTAATTGACGCACAAAATCGATCAAAATGAAATTTTTGACTCGGATATCAAGAACAGAAGGTATCAGCTAATAAATTTCCATTTCTTCCACAGGTTGCTGATCGATAGGCCAACTATTGGCTCGTGGCACTTTCTTATTTTTGACCCAAGTGTGAAAATTTGCTATTTTGGGTACATAACGTAACTGTCTCCGTGATAAATGCGCTCGGAAGGGATCGGGTAATGAAGAGATGTCTAAATATGAAACTGGAGATTTACTGCTGTTAAGCTTGTTGCTCCACATCGCACCAAAATTCAATTTCTATTTGTAAATTTGATCTTACGACGGAAGGATGAATACGCGGCGTGTTTGTCAAAAGAAAACAAACATTTTCATACAGACAGGTTGACAGATTTTTTCGATAGACAGCGAGGAATTTATTTGAACAAAACAGGGGTCAATCTCCCTAAGCTTTGTTTTAAATGTTATCTGATGAGGGGTGTGCTGTTTTCTTGGCAAATAAAGGAAAAACAAAACAGATAATAAATTTGTACAATATTAGAAATTTTCAATAAAAAATGTAAATGTGTTTCTTAGTTGCTAAGAAAAAAACTGAAAATTTAACTTTTTAGCAATATCTAACACTTATTAGAGAAAAATTTGCTCCAATTTATTAAAGAACTGTTAGAAAATATTTTCTCAATAGCAAGTAAGCAAGTATTTTAACTTTATCAAAGAGTGAAAAAATGGTGGATGCGCCAAAAAAACAATTTTTTTAGCAACATTAAATTACTCTTAATTTTAACTTTTAGGTTACAAAAAAATCAGTAAACGCATTAAAAAAATTACAATTGCTTCAAATTCTAACGTTTGGAGTTAAAGATTGGCAGATTTTTGTAATGTTTAGCCAGGGAGAAATGTATTGTTTAAAACAGTAATTAATTTCCTTAATCTTTTGTTTTAAATGTTGTTAATCGATAAGGGGTGTGCTGTTTTCTTGGCAAATAAAGCGAAAGCAAACGGGAAATAATCTTAAAATAAAACAATATTTTTTTATAAAATTAAAAATCTTTAATAATACCTAAATGTGTTTCTTGGTTGCTAAGAAAAAAACTGAAAATTTAACTTTTTAGCAATATTTTTAGCACTTATTAGAGAAAAATTTGCTCCATTTTATTATAGAACTGTTAGAAAATATTTTCACAATAGCAAGTAAAAAAAATGAATCTTCTATTTTAACTTTATCAAAGAGTGAAAAAATGGTGGATGCGCCAAAAAACCAATTTTTTTAGCAACATTGAATTATTCTTAATCTTAACTTTTAATACTAAAATATTTTAATATTTTAGGTTACAAAAAAAATTTGTAGACGCAATAAAAAATTACAATTGCTTCAAATTCTAACGTTTGGAGTTAAAGATTGGCAGATTTTTGTAATGTTTAGTTAGGGAAAAATGTGTTGTTTAAAACAGGGATTAATTTCCCTAATCTTTTGTTTTAAATGTTGTTAATCGATGAGGGGTGTGCTGTTTTCTTGGCAAATAAAGCGAAACAAACGGAAGATAAAACAATAAATTTTTATAAAATTAAAAATTTTTAATAAAAAAATGTAAATGTGTTTCTTAGTTGCTAAGAAAAAACTGAGAATTTAACTTTTTAGCAATATTTTTAACACTTAGGGAAAAATTTGGTCCAATTTATTATAGAACTGTTAGGAAATATTTTCACAATAGCAAGTAAAAAAAATGAATCTTGTATTTTAACTTTATCAAAAAGTGGAAAAATGGTGGATGCGCCACAAAACCAATTTTTTTTTTTTAGCAACATTGAATTACTCTTAATCTTAACTTTTAATACTAAAATATTTTAATATTTTAAGTTACAACAAAAAACAGTATATGCATCAAAAAAATTACAATTGCTTTAAATTCTAACGTTTGGAGTTAAAGATTGGCAGATTTTTGTAATGTTAAGTCAGGGAGAAATGTATTGTTCAAAACAGGGCTTAATTTCCTTCATTTTCTGTTTTAAAAATGTTGCTAATTGATGAGGAGTGTACTGTTTTCTTGGCAAATAAAGCGAAAGCAAAAGAAAGAAAAATGCTGAAATAACATTATAAATATTCATAAAATGTAAGATTTTTGACTAAATAAAATTGTAAACGTGTTCTTTAGTTGCATAGCTAAAAAATATTAATCTATAAGAAAAAAAGGGAAAATAGAATTTTCATCAATACACCAAGTGAATAAAAAGTATATAACCAAACGTTTTTTGCATAAACTATTTATTTTTTGGAAAAAACTAATTGATGAATGATAAAGCACTATAAAAATGTGATGTTTTATTAAAAATAAAATTTTTCGAATTTTTGTTTTGTTTTTGAGTTCTACAAAAAATTTTATTATTTTAAATGACATCCCACTATAAAAACATTTTTCTCACGAAGGTTATAATCTAAGAATTACAACTATCTACGTTATATTTAATTAAATTAAAAAAATGAATCTTGTATTTTAACTTTATCAAAAAGTGGAAAAATGGTGGATGCGCCGCAAAACCAATTTTTTTTTTTTTAGCAACATTGAATTACTCTTAATCTTAACTTTTAATACTAAAATATTTTAATATTTTAAGTTACAACAAAAAACAGTATACGCATTTCAAAAAAAATTAACTGCTTTAAAATTGTAACGTGTGGAGTCAAGGTTGTCTAACTAACATTTCAAATTTGTTGCCAACTTAATAACTAAGGTTTCAATCATTTAAAATTATTCGTTATAAAAGTATTGTTAAACAAAGAGTGCCAGTACAACTTAAAGATATACAACAAAAAAATTCTATTTTCATTTTTACTTTGACAGCACCAACTTAATGTTTCTTCAATAAAAATAAAACAACTTTTACTTATTGACCCGAAACATTTGCACGCTACTGTACGGCTATCATAATGATTAATGACTTCCGTCAAATTGGTATTGCTTATTACTTGTCTTTCAAAATACTTAAAACGAATAAAAAATATTGTAGTCAAATCCAGCATTTTTTTAATATTTAACTTTATTTTTAAACAATATTTAAATTGGAAGAATTAGTGGCTTCAAGTAAAATAAAAAAAACAAGTAAATAACAATTTTTTATTACTAAAAAAATGGTGAAAGCGCCGGGAAATTAAAAATTACCAATAATACAATTTAAGTCTCCTAAATTAATGTTGGCAACGTTAAATACTGTAATGAAGCAGGTAAACGTCTCTATATTTTTCTTGTTGTCAACTTTACTGTGATTAAAAATTTAATTAATTAATTGATTAATTAAAGATACACTTTGTTTAATTTTTTTTAACTTTGTCTAAAATTTGCTTTAATTTTTAAAGTCAACAAAAGTAAGCAATGAAAAAGCTTTACTTTTTACCTATGTATTCAACACCAAAAAATCGTAATAAAAACATTTCTAATTTTGTTTTCTAGTGAAATTTAATATTTTTACGCTATTATGACTTGTTTCATATTTTTATATTTATATTTAAAGTCTTTTTATAACGAGATTTTTTTATTTTTATTAGATGTAAAAATGTCGAAAACAGCAAGTTTCAGATAACCTTTTGGTGTTTATTTATCGCCTGGCCTATAAATAGTTGACCTAGTTGTCCAGTTTTGTTGAATTAAATCCGTCTTAAATCGCACATTAGCCCAAACCTTTCGCCATGCCCGTCCTAGCTCAATTATTTAAAAGCAATACCGAAATCGGCTCGTTTTCAATTTAGTCCGGCCAATTATGCAAAATAAACGTCACACCGTCATCAGTGCGTAATCGCAATAGAATCAAACTAATCTCCCACGGCCTTTATTGGCCATCGATTTTTCCGCAGCAAAGTCCGTTTTTTCCCAAATATGATAACTCCTGGGCTACAAGTAAATCCCATTGTACCACAGGTATGGATAAGAGATGATAAAAGCATGCGCGACGCTTCGGACGCTAGTGGGGGCGAGACCTGAGAAGCGCCAGTATCAAGGGTGCTATGACGAAAGCGTCATCAGAGTTGGCCAAGAGATCGATAATAAATTAGTTCGCACGATTTTTCCGGTAGCGATTTCTTGGTAGGGGAGGCCGGGTCTAAGCCGAGTTCGCAAAGTAAATGTTTTGGTAGTTAAGTCGAGTGCTGGCTCCGGGCCCCGGATGCGATTTCCGGTTATGACTTGAGTGAGTGTGTGATTCAGTGATTGTAAAGTAACTTCCGTGATGGTGGCCGCAATGATGCTCTTTCTTGCCAAGTTGTGTGTGTTGCTTGTTTGCGGGGCGGATTATGCTAATGCCGGCAAGGACGGTAAGTCGGTGATTTTTCGCAGCGGAAATGAAAGAAAGGCTAATTGGGGGAGGGAATAATAACTTTCCGAATTTGGGGTTTGAGACGACTACCAACGTGAATTATTAATTCGGGGGATAAATGGGATAGGGCACTTGCGAAAATTTCCCACAACTTGGACGTTTTTCGCATGAAATATTCAGGATGTACTTCCGGTAATGCAAGAAATTTTAATTGGCGATTCGCCACCTACGCTTATCACCACTTACCAACATCATCCATTAACAAATTCTTGTACCAGACGCGTTTTTTACAAACTTTTTGCAAATGGCCAAAAATAATTATTGTTACCAATTAAATAATCATTGACAATTGATAGATTGTTGTTTTTTTTACAAAAATATTTTAGAAAAACAAAAAATCTTAATATTTTACAAAATGTTTTTGATTTTGGAAACCTTTTTACATCTCAACAGGTCAGCTAATAAAACGTAAAGTTCCTGTTGTTGCTGCAATTGCAAAATAAAATTAAGTTGGCAACAATAAAAAATTTTCAAGAAAGCGTAGTTTTTAATTAAATTTGTGGTTAAAGTAACCGGCAATTTTAAAATTGAGTTGGCAACATTGGCAATCTAAGCAAGAAAGGTATAAGAAGTGTCAAAATTTATAACTTTTGTCTTTATTTCCACATTGAAGAGTATGGGTAACTGTGGTGACAAAATGTTGCATAAATAAATAGAAACTTAATTGTTAATAAAATAGTTGGCAACATTGACACATTTAAAACAACATATTACAGCGTTTAAAAACGTAAAATAATTAAATTTTTAGTTAAGGTACCCTGAGATTTTTAAATTAAATTGGCAACATTAATAAATGTAGAAAAACAAGGTATAAAATATAATAATTTTATCAAAGGTCTTATTTTTTGTCTTTGCGGTTTTAAAATAAAGTTGATAACATTGAAAGATTTGAAACAAAACGTTTTAAAGTTTTAAGAAACCTAATATAAATATAATAAAATTTTCAATTAAAACAGTTTGCGACTTTGACGTTTAACATTAAGTTGGCAACATTGACAAAAAGAAATATGAATTGTTTTTTACATAAAAATATGCGAAGATAAGAAAAAGTGATTGTTAAAGAAATTTCTTATTAATTTTAGAATATTGTTGGCAAAATTGACACATATAGCAAAAATAAGAAAACTTAAATGTTGATAAAATTTATCTACTAAAGTAGCTTGTAATTTTAAAATATTGCTGGCAATATTGAAACATTGGAAACAAGAAATTGCAGCGTTTCACAAGAACGTAATATTTATAATCAAATTTTTAGTGAAAGTACCCTGCAATTTTTAAATTAAATTGACAACATTATTAAATGTAGAGAAAAAATGTGTAAGATATAAGAACTATAAATGTTTTATTTTCTGTTTTTGCGGTTTTAAAATAAAATTGATAACATTCAAAGATTTGAAACAAAAGGTTTCATTCAGAGTTTCAAGAAAACCTAGCATAAATATAATAAAATTTTCAATTGAAATAGTTTGTGATTCTGACATTTGACATTAAGTTGGCAACATTGATATATCTAAAGAGAAAAGGATATAAGAGATATAAGACTTGTTAAGGTTTTTATTTTCTACCTTTGTTTTTTTACATAAAAAATGCGAAAATCAGAAAAAAGTGATTGTTAATAAAATTTCTTATTAAAGTGGCCTGTGATTTTAGAATGTTGTTGGCAAAATTGACAAATTGACAAAGTTACAAAAATAAGAAAACTTATTATTAATAAAATTTAACTACTAAAACAGCTTGCAATTTTAAAATATAGGTAGCAACATTGAAACATTTAAAATAAAAAACTACAGCATTTCATAAAAACGTAATAAAATCAAATTTTCAGTAAAAGTACCCTGAGATTTTGAAATTAAATTGGCCACATTATTAAATGTAGAAAAAAAATGTATAAAATATAAAAATTATTAAAGTTTTTATTTTCTGTCTTTGCGGTTTTAAAATAAACTTGATAACATTGAAAGATTTGAAACAAAAGGTTTCAGAGTTGCAAGAAAACCTAATATAAGTATAATAAAAATTTCAATTGAAATAGTTTGCGAGTTTGACATTAAACATTAAGTTGGCAACATAAATCTAAAGACAAAAAGATGTAAGAATTGTCCATGTTTTTATTTTCTGCCTTTGTTTTTTTTACATAAAAAATGCGAAAATAAGAAAAAAGTGATTGTTAAAGAAATTTCTTATTAAAATGTCCTGTGATTTTAGAATATTGTTGGCAAAATTGATAAATATGGAGACAAAAATACAACATATGTCAAAGTGCATAATCTCCTATCTTTCTTAATGTACTAAAATGTCTAGATAATTGTGACAACAAAATTGAAAAAAATAATAGAATGCTGTAATTTTTAGTCGGCAAGGTTAAAAAATACAGTCAAGAAAGTAGATTTAGGACCAAAATTTTTACATTTTTTCAATAAAAGTTTTATTTTAAATCTTATTTCTAATAACTACCTTAGACAGGGTGCGCCAGAACTCGCGCCCCAGAGAAAAATGACATGTAAGGTAAGATACCAGGGACATGGAAAAAATTAAAAAAAAATTCTATCTATAAAAATTTCGAAGTTATGAGAGTTTAAATTTTGCACTTTAACTCTATTTATTTCTGTTGGAAAAATACTTTTCCAAGATTTTTTGCTACAAGCTATTAGAAGAGGAATCAAGGAAGCTGTAACCTGAATTGTATCTGTGTTTAATGTTATTTGTGGCTTTTATTGGCAAAAATTTTTTCCGTTTACTAAATAATTGTAAAAAAACTTATACAAGATTATCAGTATCATTAAATAGATATGAAATAATGTCAAATGTCAAAAAATAAATGTCAAATTTTTTTGACAGATAGAATTTTTTAAACATTTTTCCATGTTCGTGGTATCTTATCTTACTTGAAATTTTTCTCTGGGGCGCAAGTTCTGGCGCACCCTGTATATCTAGAAAAGTTGTAACTAGAATAATACTTTTAGTAATTAGCATAGCAAGAGCATTTTTTATTTTTTTTTAGTTTCTGTTTAAATATTCAGCAGTTTGAAAGTTTGACCGACTAGTCGATATTGGTTTCGTGCCTAAAAAACTACTCTTTTTTAAAATTCAATTAATTTCCTCACTGAAATTAGTTTTTGAATAATTTAGTCAAGTTCAAAACTGGGTCAGTGCGGCTTTTACCTCCAAAAAGCCAGCTTGAAACTTCTTTTAGTTGAAAATCATTGCAGTTTTCCAAACTGTTATGCTTGTACTTTCCCGAAGCAGTGCATTGAAACTATCAAACTATCCTGAAAATTCTCGAATTTCTCTCTGAAAGTTTGGTGCTAATGTGCAAAAAAATCCGAATTTAAATAGGCTTTTTACCGTTAATGAAGTCTAAAATAAAGTGGAATTCGCAAAAACGGTCTCATTATTGTAAATCGTGAAACAAGGCATTTGTGAGGAAATCAAGCATGGAAATTACTTTTCACTTTCTAACCTCCTAATTATAAGCGAAAATGAAAAAGTTTTCGGCATCCGCCGCATTTACTTTTTGTTTTGTGAATAATTAAGAGTTTAATGAGAGAAAAGCGCTGAAAACTCCAACTCTTCGAGTGTTGATTGGATTAATTTCCGACTAACACTCGTCAATTTTTGAATTTAGTGTCAATTAGTTGCGACGCCTTGTCATGTTTCTCACAATGCCCCGAAATTTTTCTAATTTGCAACAATTTTTTCGGACGAAAAGCTTTTACCAGACGACTGAAAAAATGTAACTTTGTTAACGAAATTTAATTATCTTTTTTGCCTCGATGTTGCGTTCGATTTCTTAAGGCCTGTTTAGTTATGAAACCCAAAGCGCTAGAACTAATTGGATTTTTTCAGCGCTGGACCTGAAACCAAAATTCGATCAGAATTTTACTCGACTCAAAGAGGGAGAATTAAAGTCACTGTCAACCCGTTTTTACGAGAAAAAGTTGTCGCGCACTTTGAACCATAATTTATCACAATGACAATTATGAATTTGACCCAACTTATATCCCAAAATTTTCCAACATTTTTGTCTCTCAAACTATCTATTTATTTAAATTTGATTACAAGCTAGGTGTGTAATGGCCAGCAATCACGCAATTTTCGCAGTGTCAAATCTCGTCAAAGAACGAATTTTTGCAAGCAACAAAATCGAAGGTTAATGATTTCCAAACATGCCATATTGGAAATGTATTAAATTTCGACGAAAGTTGTTGTTTTATTGCTCGAAAACCGATTACTAATCATTGTAATCTAAGACATGGAAGTGCTGCGTCTCGTTTTCAAGTTTCTTGACTTTGCAGCGTCATAACTCTCTGTCTTTTTATCAGCGTTTTCAGATCTAACCTCATTTCAGATAATCTTGAATTGTTGAACACACTAATGCTGCAATTTTTTTCCTTGATTGTTATAAATATTTGGAGATGATTAAACGAATAAAGTAAAAACAATGTGTTTTTTGGTATGACATTACTCGCTAGAAACTGATTTAAATTTAGTTTAAAATTGGTGGATGCGCCGGACAATTTTTTTAGTTTTTGACATTTGAATCACTCCGAACTACTTTTTTTTGTAGTAATTTTAACAAAATTTTGCATGTTCAGTAATAAAAATGTCAGTAATTAGTTAGTAAAATTAATTAAAAAATTCTCAAATTTTTTGGTGAGTTTATACAACTTAAATAATTAAAACTTTAATTTTGCTTAAAAATAACCTAAATGTTCCAAAAAANGTCAATTTTTATTTAATTTGGTGTTTCTTAACAAAATTTGTAGAAACAAATAACATTCTGGGTCAAAATGAATTAAATCAAGCGAAAATAGCGTTAATTTTTATTTAAATAGGTATTTTTTTATAACAAAGATTTCATTTCTTTTTAAATAAATACTTTTTTTTGTAGTAATCTTAACAGAATTTGGCATGTTTAGTAATAAAATTGTCAGTTGG